CAGCACAGCAAATATAGCAGAGTGGTCTTTCTGACTGATGCTATGTCAGTTCTACAAGCAATTGTAACCCCAAAAGACACTCAGTTTGTAGACTTGACGCAACAGCTGATTTACTTAGGCTCTTCAGTAGAACAATCTGTACTTCAGTGGATTCCAGGTCACTGTGGCTTGGAAGGCAATGAAATAGCGGACAGATTGGCCAGAAGCGGCAGTGACATGGTACAACCAAATAGCGACTTAACCCACCAAGAGATGAAAACACTAATACAATCTAGTATCCAAGAAAGGTGGCTGGATACCCACAACAGATTTTCTCCCCATGACTCACTTCATCGCCTCTCTAGAGAGGGACAGTCTATTATATTCAGACTAAGGACAGGACACAACAGATTTCGTCAACATATGTTCAAATTTTTCAGTGTAGGAAATACGGAGACGTGTCCCTGCAGCGTGGCACCCGAAAATGCTGAGCATGTGCTCCAACACTGTCAACTGTATGCTGACAACAGAGACGCAATCTGGCCTGTTCCAACCACAATGAAGACAAAACTGTATGGTACACGAGAGGAAATGGATTGCACGATAGCTTTCATAAAGGCTACCGGCCTCCTGATATAAGTTTTCTGACAGAAGGATCGAAGAAGAAGAAGAAGAAGAAGAAGAAGAAGAGCATCCTCCAGCTTTTACTCCTGCATTCTTTTTAATTTCCCTCAAAATTATTTCACTACATAGAGAGAAAAATTCTGGGGATAAGACATATCCCTGTCTTACTCCTTGCTTTATCTGTTCAAAAGTACCTAATCCGTTTTTCACTTTAATTGCTGCGAATTGGTTCCAGTAAATGTTTTTAATTATTCTAAGAATTAAGAAATGACAGAAATGTAATGAAAAGGAAGAAGAATGTTGAAATAAGACAGTAGTTTAATGAGAAGGCAATTGGTTGTTACAATATTTAAAGAATTTTAATGAGAAGGAAATTGTGAGTTAAAATACAGATGCTTTATAAGTAGGAAATATCGAGGTAAAATACATAAGTATAATGAGACGACATTGTGAATTCAAAAACAGGACTTTAATAAAGTAGAAAAGTAAAACAGACGTTAAATGGGAAGGGGGTAGAGAGTAAAAATATAACATAATTCCAAAGACAATGATGAAGAGAGTTAAATTATGACCGAAGAATAATGAATAGGAAGTAGGAAGTTAAAATATGAAAACATATATTAAGTAATTAGCAAGCTAAATGTCATAAAAAAAAAAGAACTTAGAATGCAAGTTTAAAAAAAAAGTATATTATGTTAAACTGCAGCTGTTTTTATGAAAGAGAAATACAACTATGCACATATAAGAACATAGTTTACCCCCCCCCCCCCCCCCCCCCCCCCCAAAAAAAAAAAAAATGGTCCCTAAAATCTATTAAAAACTACTCATTGCGAGAATGACCAGAAGTTTTAGCCGTGTAAAAAAATCGCAAGTATACTGCCATTTGTTCGATCCAGCAGCAGGCGTTTGGCATGACGCCTTGCAATTGTTTCCAAGGCAATCTATAGCAGATGTTCATTGAGCATTTACATAACCTTCCCCCCCCCCCCCCCCCCAAAAAAAAAAAAATGGTCCCTAAAATCTATTAAAACTTACTCATTGCAGAGCCAAGACCAGAAGTTTTAGCTGTTTGTGATTCGCAATTTCATAGTGCCAGGTTCGATCCCAGCAGCAGGCGATTTGGCATTAGACCGCCTTGCAATTGTTTTAAAGGCGGTATCTAGAGCAGACTGTTCATTGAGCATTGAAAAACTACTTAATGTAAAATTGCTTGATAAAATTGCCTTGTAAGAGGATATTTTCTCGTCAGCAGAGTCTGGCCTCGTCAAAAAGTTTTTTTTCTTTTGTTTACCTTTCCCCAAGCTCTAGTTTCCGTTAATTAACATTGTCACTCTATTCAGTTATATAATGTAAAGACCTTTAGTAAGCCAACCTCCATGGGGAGAAGTGTGTGTGAAGACATGGGGAGAAATGTGTGTGAAGACATGGAGAGAAGTGTGTGTGAAGACATGAGGAGAAGTGTGTGTGAAGACATGGGGAGAAGTGTGCGTGAAGACATCTCTAGAGACATATTCCCACTTGCCCCTGACGGGCATTATCTGCATTTTAAATAAAGAAAATATAAAACCAGCTGTGAAGACATCAGTGAAGACAATCGTAAAGACATTTGTGAAGACAATTTAGAAAACATGCCTTCTTTTCTTCTTCTTCTTTCGTTCGCCTGAAATCAATTGTCTATATCAGCAATTTTGTCTCTCGTATAAATTTTACTGTCGCTTTTTAGTTCGTGCATAGAGTTTATGTTCCACTGTTGTGTTTACTTGCAAAAAGGTTCGCCTTGATGAACGAAACTCTGTGCAGTCCTGAAGTACATATTCTGATGTCTGTGGCACCTTTTCACAGGTGCACAAGGCTGATACGCCTATTATGAATTGTTTGTACATATCGTAACGTAATCGGTGACTACAAGTGATAATTTCTTAACATTTTCTTTTCATTTCAGACGCGCCTTTAAAAGCCTACCCCACGTCCCCGTCGTGAGAGGTGGTAACAGGACACAGTAGGGGATTGCCAGGATTAGGCGAAGTATGGTCTGGCTACGGGACCGCCACGGTAACCATGGAGGCCATCCTGGGTCACCTCAAAACGTTCTGGCCAACGGGGCTCTGGTGAAGTTGCGACAGGCCTAGAAAGCCGGCAATAGATTAAATACCGCTACAACAAGTACAATGAGATGAGGTCATACGAGATAAAGACGGCACAGAACAATTTCTAAATTACATAGAAAAACAGCAAATAAAATAGTTTGCCCACTTGGAGAGAATGCCTTCTGATGCTATACCATTCAAGGCATACACCAACAGAGAAGAGGGATGTAGAGCAAGAGGTATACCAAGAACATAATGGAACGATAACATCAGATATACTCTACAGTACCATGATGTGTCTTTGGTCGAAACATCCAGAAAAGCACGAAGCAGACCTTATATCTCCCTTGACACCCGAAGCGGTAAAAGAGGACGGAAAGAAGAAGATTTCAGACACTGTTGATTATTTTTAGAGGAAGATAAGGACATGACAAATGATATGATGTTGCGGGAAACCGCTAGTCCTTATGGACAACGAAAGCTCTGACGCTTGTTTTGAGAAAAACGTCTGCTACAACCTCACCAAGACACCGGCCTGGGCCTGTTGAGCTGTAGTACACGCTGTTGCCCAGGCAGCTTGTAGCCCAAACCTGCCGTCAGTAGCGCCAAGGGAAAGGTAAATACCAATACAGACTAGCATCGAAGACGTTGCAGGAATTGAAGTAGCAGAATATAAACAGCGTTGAACCAAAGTAACAATTTCAACTCAGAAAGAGCTTTCTCTAAGTAGGATTTCAGTAGTGAGTTATGTCATGGAAGGACCAAAGCTATGGACAATTATGGTGATCAACACTTCACGGTCTGCATTGTAATCACTATGATTGTTTGTTCCTCTTCCTCTTTTATCTACGTATACTCCTTTCGGTTTCTTCTTCTTCATTGTCGTCGTCGTCATCTTCTTCTTTTTCTTCTTCTCCTTTTTCTTCTGTTTCTTTTTCTTCTTCCTATTTTTCCTCTTCTTCTCTTTCTTCTTCTCTTTCTTCTTCTACTTCCTCATCTTCTTCTTTTTCTTCTGCTTCTTCATTTTCTGCTTCTTCCCTTTCTTCTTCTTTTCTTCTTCTTCTTCTTCTTCTTCTTCTTCTTCTTCTTCTTCTTCTTCTTCTTCTTCTTCTTCTTCTTCTTCTTCTTCTTCTTCTTCTTCTTCTTCTTCTTCTTCTTCTTCTTCTTCTTCTTCTTCTTCTTCTTCTTCTTCTTCTTCTTCTTCATTTCTTCTTCTTTTTTTCTTCTTCTTTTTGTTGTTGTTGTTCTTCTTGTTGTTCTTGTTGTTCTTGTTCTTTCTTCTTCTTCTGCTTCTTCTTCTTCTTCTTCTTCTTCTTCTTCTTCTTCTTCTTCTTCTTCTTCTTCTTCTTCTTCTTCTTCTTCTTCTTCTTCTTCTTCTTCTTCTTCTTCTTCTTCTTCTTCTTCTTGTTCTTCTTCTGCTTCTTCCTTCTCTTCTTCTGCTTCATCTTCTTCTTTTTCTTTTTACATTTTTCCTACTAAAGCCCCCAGCGTCGTGTCGGGAAATATATTTCAACAGAAAGTGAAGATTTGAAGAAGCAGGAAGAAACCGAAACAGCCACGAAAGAAAAAGAAAAAGACGATGAAAAGAACAAGAAGAAGAATTGGATAGGGGGCAGAAATAGGAGGTGGATGACGAATAGAAGGGAGAGTAAGAAGAGAAAGGCAGTAGATAAAAACAATGGGTAAGGCCAAACACAGAAGCGTACTGACATTGTAGACCTATCTTCAGTCCACTACTGCTAACCTTACGATACAGACAATAAAATCAAACTAACATCTACAAATAATGTCGAATCTACATCGCAAGATGTATCGTAACACAGGGTTAATATGGATTAAAAAAAATTTATCATATATACAAGTTAAACAAGATTTTAACGTAACAGCATTCATAACTTTATAAATAACAGTCATAACATACAATGTAATAATTATCCTTGTTAGTTATGTACAAAGTTTCCGAAACGGTGTCAAGTTCCGTTTAGAAGAAAGTGTCTTCCATACTTTTTCTCAAACAAATATACTTTTCGAGTTATGGTGCAACATACTGGTCACAATTACGTTTCACAGCTACATTGTACATTCTGGTCATAATTACATTTCGCATTTACTGTATAAATCTATCGCAATAATTACACAAGATTGCAAGAAACAAAAACCACATCAATATTTATAATGCCAAGCAGAATTTAAGTTGGTCGAACAAAGCGCATATAGAAGCTATATCAACATATGTCTATATGATAAGCATTGAATGGAATTCTAGATGGGTCCAGGCCATTAACCACGAGAATTTAAATTCTTGTTTACTTAGTCCCTCCTTCGATTCTTAGGCTTACTGTTTTTAGTGGTCGGGCTGGTGCATTTACAGCCCACAGTAACATGGTACTGAATGAGGTTCCATCGTTCCTCGTAAGTGGTTTCGTTACTCAAGCTAGGCAAAGGATTGCATTGGTCGGGGTCTCGCTGAAGCATCTTCATGACATATTTAATGGGTTCACAGTTGTACAAGCGATAGAAACATTTGTCTGTTTCGCACCTGCCGTCCAGCACAGTGTCTGGAAAAATTCCCGTTCTCATGTGCTTATTAACCTGGGTAAACTTACATTCCCACGGTGGCGGTTTTATTAAGTTTTTGGCTTTTTGTCTTAACTTTTTCTTTAATAACTTTCTCGTTTTCTTATCTTTTCCTCTCAAGAACAGTCGCAGCTGAATATTATCTACAGATTTCTTGTCAGTTTCAGAATTTTCCTCGCCAAAGTCGTATTCGTCGAAGTTGATATTTTCATCAACGTCTTCGTCGAGGCTTGGAATATCACTGTCCGGATATGCTGATTGAGAAGAGGCTTCTGCGAGGTCGAGCGAGCGTCGCCTTCTACGCTTCATGTAGGCGTAAGGATCTGATGAAGAAGTCGTGTAACTCTGGCCGTTAGAAAGGTCATTCTTGTTTCTGAGGTAACCCCATAGATTCGAAACGTTAGAGGATTTATTGGGTACACGTCTATTTAAAACTTTCCTTCTGGGAATCCATGTTCGTCTATCGAAAACGTCACTTTCATCTATTTCTTCTATCATTCTATTTTCTGTATTTTCCAGTACGTCTTCTCTTTCATCAACCCAGAGGTCGTCATTGGAGCTCCACTCTCTGTCGCCCTCAACCAGGTCCGCGCTTTGTACGGCGAGGCCGAGAATTGGCTCATCTGCTTGATATCCAGGATTACTCACCTCTCCATATGTTGGACCGTAAGTTCGCTTCCCCGTGGCCAAGTCGGTAGCCATTCTATTCTTGTCGAAATACGGGGATATCATCTTCTGGAGATTTGACCTGGTCACTGACTGACAGATTCGGGATCTGAACACAACGAAACCTGGCTGCATGTTAGACCAAGGCCGACTGACGCCAGGCGGTAAACTGGGCCACGGTTTACTGACCACCGGCTGGTAGAGTAGAACCAGTAGAAATAGTCGAAGCCACAAACGGCTGTCCAACAGCTTTCCGACCTGTTGAGGCAAACATAAAAATATATTATTGATATGGAAAAAAAATCACAATAGATAGTTAATTGAAAGATTATATCCTTTGTCCATGTGTTAGGGCCCTATTGTGGGGAACAAACAGAAAAGACCCACTTCCCCAACACTTATATCTTAGGAGTATATGCATATTCCATCGAAGTCGGAGTGCAGCTGCCCAAAAGACAAGGAACCTACAATCTGAGTGAAAAATAAGCTAGATCTGTAAAATCGGATTTGCACGCAAAACTTCAGATCTGGAAAGAGACTAAAGTCCAGAATCGATGAACAACTAGAACTTTCTGACGGAGTTTACTGCCAATGAACGCGAAGAAATAGAAGATCTACTTCACACTAAAGAAACATTCAGTCTATGACTGGTAGGATCTGGAAAAAAAAAAGTAAAGGACCCTTTTCCACGCCTTTAGGCGTATAGGGCATATAGGGCTAGACCTATTTTTAAATAGATCAATCGGCACAAGATGGGTGATGTGGTCAGCATCACGCCGGCTGCCTTTACTTCCCGGGACTGCACCCGGTACCCACTCAAGGCTGGGTCGACTTGGGAATCAACTGGTAGGATCTCCTCCTCAGTATATCCTACAGCGTGTAGCCGCTAACGACAGCAGATCTTAGCCTTCTTTTGTTTCCTGCATAGTGATATTGTCTATTGGTGCACCGCCTTGTCTGACCGACGTGGCTCTGTATTGCAAGCAGGCTAAGCTGGTACTTCCTTTCAAATCGATAACCGAAGAGTTTAAAGTCGGCAAGGTAAGGCTCGCCATGCTCTTGCGCGAGTCTTCAGACCCAAATGTCACCGCTGTCCAGCCCGCTCTAAAGACTGGCCAGAAGTGGAGGGTCCTCGATGCGATAGAATCTGCCCAGAATGCACTAAAATTGAAAGAGATAATGGGATACACTCAAACCGACCGTCGAGGCCTAGGGCACGGGAAGGTCAATTGGTGGTCAAAGGCCTCAGCCAAAGAGCGCCAAGACATGGTAATACAAACGGTGAGGGACAACGAAAACGAGGTTCGGGTCCAGAAAGCAGCCCAGCAGTCGCAGCAGGGCCATTGGGTCAGCCTGGAGAGCGCATTGCCGAGAGTACTCACATGGGCCAGGCCAGGCCAGGCCAGACAGACAGACAGACAGACAGACAGACAGACAGACAGACAGACAGACAGACAGACAGACAGACAGACAGACAGACAGACAGACAGACAGACAGACAGACAGACAGACAGACAGACAGACAGACAGACAGACAGACAGACAGACAGACAGACAGACAGACAGACAGACAGACAGACAGACAGACAGACAGACAGACAGACAGACAGACAGACAGACAGACAGACAGACAGAGACAGACAGACAGACAGGATAGATAGATAGATAGATAGATAGATAGATAGATAGATAGATAGATAGATAGATAGATAGATAGATAGATAGATAGATAGATAGATAGATAGATAGATAGATAGATAGATAGATAGATAGATAGATAGATAGATAGATAGATAGATAGATAGATAGATAGATAGATAGATAGATAGATAGATAGATAGATAGATAGATAGATAGATAGATAGATAGATAGATAGATAGATAGATAGATAGATAGATAGATAGATAGATAGATAGATAGATAGATAGATAGATAGATAGATAGATAGATAGATAGATAGATAGATATGCGGGGGTGAGAAAGAGATGCATAGAAGTTGATGCGAGCTTTGGGAGACAGACAGCATGATGTGAGGAAGCATTGTCGCTGATGCTATGCAGCAAAACCCATGATGTTGATGATGTTGATGATGACGATGGTTATGATGAGGATGTTTATGTTGATGGTAAAATGACTAAAATGATGGCGGTGGTGATGGTGATGATGACGATGGTTATGATGTTGACGATGTTTATGTTGATTGTAAAATGACTAAAATGATGGTAGTGGTGATGGTGATGATGAAGGGTGAGATGTCTTTGACAAGGATGATTATGATGGTAATCGTGGGGATGATGATGTTGATGATGATGATGATGATATGGAAGCGATGATGATGATGGTGATTATTATGGTAGTTAGGAAAAGGATTGTGACGATGATGAAGATGATGTTGTTGATAATGATGATGATGGTGGTGGTGGTAATGATGACGATGATGTTGCTAATGACAAAAAGTACAACAACCATGAAAGGTAACGTGGAAACAACAGTCTTGCCTGAGCAATAACGCGGGTTTCGCTAACCTCCAACCGAGACTGCGACGAATGCGCAGACAATTTTCTTGACCTGCTCAGCGACGGCGATGATGATGACGACGACAGGATCGGCGACCACGAAGTTACTGCAATCGCTGAAGACGTTCTGCTACTTCCACTGCAACCTTCGGAAATGTGAGGGTGAAGTCTGGCCGTGTGGGACCAGGGCCGGGTCATGACAAAGTCGGCAGGAGATGCTCTGGGAAGCTGAACGGGCATTCAAAAGGTTCAGCATAGAGCATCTTCAGCGCCCGAAGTTGATTCTTGCGGGGTTACGTCCGACTTGGGTTTTATGTGTTGTGTACACCGTTTGGTAAAACGGTGTTGATGTCGTTTGCTTGTTTGTACTTAAGAGGAGCATTCGACTTCTCATTCCAGGATAAATTAGTGCGTTATTTGAAGATGTAGGAAGGGCCAAGATTCATGCCTAATAGTTTGTTTCAGGAAGTTGAAAAAACTTGATGAACTAGTTGCATCATCTATTTGTCTCCTCGATACGATGACTGAAATCCCAAACTAACTGAGAATGCTATCATTTAGCTAACAGGTTTTAAATCCATGAATGATTATCATGCACTGAAAGCCAATTCTTTACGATGTTAAGGTTGCTGATTCACGAAGATGCTTGCATTTAGATGTTATATCTGCATCACTGCCAACTGTTGTCATATTATAGCGTCATCTTACATCATAAAATTTGCAGAGTGCCCGGAAGACCACCTTGGTTCATTTAAACAGTTGTTTGACTTGCAAAATCACCAAAAGCTTCCTTTGTGATCAGTTGATTCCCTAACAGTCCAGCGAGTATTTTATCTTTTGATTGCTGAAATTTTCTGTTTTGATAGCCTAATTTAGAAAATCCTCAACTTTGATTTTTCAGGGCCGGTAAGTTCTTGAGCAGGTAACGTTGACAAGAAGGTTATTTCCCTTAGATAGATTGAGTCGTAGCTTGACGGTTAAGGTGTATTCTGTGAAAAGTAATAAAATACATTAATTATAAAATACAGAAATAATAAATGAGCTTTGTGACATAAACAGTACATAAACAAGGTATAATATTACACACGTTGTCCGCGTGTGTTCCGGGACCTCATTGTAGGCAAAACAGGAACATACCCACTAAGGGACATCTTTCTTCGATGTCGGAGTGCATCTGCTTGAGAAGCAAGGAACTAAGATACGGATAAATCCATGCCGCTACCATGCTACCAAACCAACCCGGACCAGAACCAGCCATTGGGAAGATGCAGGCTCTAGCAGCCATCACCATCATCGCTCTGGACCGGCCACTGGAGGCGTTACCTAAAGGAAGGATTCAGGGGACAGGTAGTACGGTTGTTGTGTCCTTGTCCGGTGCCAGGTGCCGCCTCTAGGGCAAAGCCTGCCTGGCTGGCCAGCGCGCTGATAAAGGACACATCACACATTTATAGGTATGCTGTGCTTAGGAGATGATTCCTCACGTTGACGAAGGAGGCATAGGAGCGGAAGTACGCAAAACTCCACGACGTGCAGAAGAGCATAGAGGGAGTAGATATACGTCTCGAACCCCTGGACAAAGAGAGGACCAAAATCTGCATGAACTGGATCTCTGTCACCACCACTGAGAGCGTTGCAAAGATGATAGTCGCTAAGATAACTGGCGACAACAACCCAGAGGTGTTTACCTAGCAAAGTGCGCAAAGGACAAGTGGTACGCCCTAGGAAAGGAGACCAAACTGATTCCTCATTACGTGACAATGAGGAATCCAGAGGTTCCAGGAGGCAAACATTGCGACCACAATGACCATTGGGTCAACAAGTGTCTAAAAAGACAACGATGGTCTCCACCAAAACCAACACAAGCGCCAGCACTCTTCCAGGAGGAAGTGTTCCTATCCCTGAAGGAAGCTACAGAGCAAAGCAATGCACAGCTCGATCTGCCTGACTCAGGACGTTGAAGACAGTCAGCAGAAAGAAGGATTTTCCCCAAAAGCACAGAGTCCTCTAAGACAGTAGGGAAGAGGAAGACACACAAACCACCCCAAAAAAGAAGAGGACGAACAAGAAAATAAACTGGCAACAAGTCAGCTCGAATAAGGCCTAGCGACAGGAAAAGACCCAATATAAACCACGAAAAAAAAAAAAAAAAAACTAATGAGAAGACTAACAACACCGACGCGGCCACCGAGAAATACGAGTTTTCATCCGTTTCGGAAAAAAAAGAGCCTCAACTGAAAGACCTCAGATGTCGTAAGAGTAGACTAATTGGTAGCTTCCTTCAAAGTCAGAGTACATCTGTCTAAGAGGTAAGGAACTAACAGTCTGCATACAAATTAGTCAAATCTGTCAAACAGATGCACAAGCATCACTCAAATTCTTGAACATTACTGCAGGCCAAAGTTAACTTGAGGCCAGAGTTTACAGCAGGTGAACGCAAAGAAGAAGAAGAAGAAGAAGAAGAAGAAGAAGAAGAAGAAGAAGAAGAAGAAGAAGAAGAAGAAGAAGAAGAAGAAGAAGAAGAAGAAGAAGAAGAAGAAGAAGAAAGAAGAAGAAGAAGAAGAAGAAGAAGAAGAAGAAGAAAAAGAAAGAAGAAGAAGAAGAAGAAGAAGAAGAAGAAGACGGAGGAGGAGTAGAATGACAACTACACATTCACATGCCAATACTATGATCACTGTGTGGAGTGTGATTTGCGTCTCGTGGAGCCTTCAAAGAGGAGCGGCTCTCGGGCTCTTAAGCGGAAGACCTGGCTTTGAATCTTTGGTAAGGTGTGGGATTTTTTCTGTCGGGGGCAAAATAAAATCATCACCTGCACAGTCTGTTGCGACAGCGCTAGCTATGCGGCCGTAGAAAATCAGGGTCAAAGATCCTCCCCCCCCCCCCCAACCCCCACCGCAAAAGTGGTATAAACACGGCAGTAATTGGCAGTTTTGGGCAGCAGCCTTCAACATTAGGAAGACAGACGGTTACTTAAGTAAACCTCCGCGAAAGACAACGAAAGTTTTGACTGGTCGGCAACAATTCGTTACAGATCATTGGAGGAATAAATGAATGGAGTTCCTCCCTCCCCGTACAACAAACTTATCAAAAAAAAAAAAAAAATTAGCAAAACATACAACTCTTACACTTAATTCAAACTACAAATAAGCGAGATCTGTAAAACGGATGTTTAGTTAACACTCAAGAGTTCTGGAACAAAACTAATGTCTAGAGGTGGACGAATACCCAAAACATTACTCCGGATTTGTATCCCTTTTTTCATCCTGATTTGAGCCGCTACGCACAACACGGTCCATGGAATTTTGTTCCACAGATCTACCTCAATGCCTGTATCATTTATGTCCCGCCTCTACAAAATGTTTAAATCGTAGTAAAGGCCAACCTCGATATCTTCTCCCCATCAGTCAATCATCATAGACGATGTCCTCATGTATACTATAATCCTCAATTCTCCAAGTGTGACCGAGCACCTGAGCTTTCGGTCTAACCTCCAAGTCACAGAACGGGTAAAAAAAACTGAATCATCATCATCATGTAGCATGTCCTTTTCAGAACGTCGCCATCATCACAGCCTGTCTGAATGAAACTCGGTCTCTCGCCAGTTCTTCTGCCTCGCGTACTTTCATATTCAAGAAGTCACTTTAAACCTCCCCCGTGTGGGTTCCGGGGCCCTACTAAAAGAAAAACAAGAATAGACCCACTGCATATCCAAAAGCATGTCGTAAGAGTCGACTAATTGGGAGATTCCTTCGAAGTCGGAGTGTATCTGTCTGAGAGGCAAGGAACCAACAGTCTGCATACAGATATGTCAAACGGATGCACACGCAACACTCAGGTTCTGGAAAAGGACTGCAGTCCATAAGTGGACAAACAACTATAATTTTTTGCCAGTTTACTGCCGGTGAACGTGTAGAAGAAGAAGAACTTAAATCCTGTTTGTGTTGATCGGACACTGCTCCTCCTTCCTGCTTCCATGCTTTCTGCTATTTTTTTTTTTTTTTTTTGCAGTCCGTCATGGGAGCTTGATGGACCAAAACATTTCAGCTTCCGATACAGGGTGCTGTTTATTAGTTAATCTGCCAATCTCCCTTGATGTTCAGATCTGTTAAAATGTCAGTATTTCTTCGCTTCGTTCGTCTTTGGTTTCCATAATAATTATTTAAATAAATCTGTAAATAATGATGGATCCTATTAGCATACTCTAAGGTACATTATGTTTACAAACTATCCCTGGCTGTAGAGTACTGTAGAGTACAACCACTTTTGTAGCCGTCAAAATATAATTTCCTTGGGGTAAAAGCTACACGGGTTTTTGCCCTGGTGGATCACTATCAGATATAAATCTCTTAACACTTTCAACTGCAGGCATTTTTGTGTGCTAAATTGCTCTGTACTAAGACTTCGCCCTTGAAAGTCTTTAATATTATGTCTGAGACGTTATATAAGTGACACACATAGCTAATGAAAGAAGAAGGGACATCACTGAACTCGGGACATTCCCACACGTGCTTCGACGCCTTCTTCAGTAACCAAAGAAAAGTCAGCATGCTAACAGTACCATTTGTAACTTATTTAAACGTCCGCCTTTGTTTCCCCCTCATTGTTGACTATTTTATAGATCCTCTGCTCACCCTCCCCCCCCCCTCCCCTTTCCTCCGCGCTGAATCAATCTTTGAATGTAGGGATTCTCTGTCTGTTCACTGTCCATTTGATCTTAAACAGCCTTCACCACTTAATCTTCATCATAAGGGATAGTAGCAGCTAATCTATCAGCCTGCTCGTCACTTAGTGCACCTGAATTTCCAGGACAGAAAATCCATGTTATGCACAAATGGTCACAGCAGTTAAACTATCAATTCTAATAACATAAGTTAGTGTGATTTGTGTCTGTGACACAAAGAAACTGAGGGACATACTGTATGTGAGGTGCCAAAGAAACGGAGGGACATATTGTATGTGAGGTGCCAAAGAAACGGAGGGACATACTGTATGTGAGGTGCCAAAGAAACGGAGGGACATACTGTATGTGAGGTGCCAAAGAAACGTATATGTTTGGTACTCAGACAGTTATAATCACAGAGCGACAAGATCTGTTGGCGGCAGTTCGGATTGGGAAAACAGATACATAGAGAAGACAGACTATTAGTTAGTTAGTCTTTCCTCTTGTGTCGAGTGCGGCACATAGGGCAGAGGTCGCGACTCTCCATGCACGGCGGTCCGTTGCAATCCGTTGTAGGTCTTGG